GCCCGGGGAGGCCCCGGCCCCCGAGGCACCCTGCCCGGGGAGGCCCGAGGCGGGCTCCGACTCCGAGGAGGCCGGCGAGCTCCCCGACTGGCTCCGAGAGGGCGAGCACGTGGTCGTAGGCGCCAACAAGACGGGCACCGTGCGCTACGTCGGGCCCACCGACTTCCAGGAGGGCACCTGGGTCGGCGTGGAGCTGGACCTGCCTTCAGGTAGGAATCATCGCCTCGGCCTCCCAGGTCCTGGGGCCTGGGCGCTGTCCCCAGCCTCCGGGCTTGAGGGGAGCGCCCCACCACGAGCCACAGCCCCACTGCCAGTGTTTATTGGAGACAAGCCTGTACACAGACTTTCCTGCCCCTGATGGCTTTGAACCGCCATCCTCAGATGTCAGCCTCCTGAGTAGCTGGGATGACAGGCATGAGCCACCAGTGCCCAGCTCTCAGGAGACAGTTTCTGAATTTGGGGTGCTCTGGATTTGGGATGGCTTTAACAGCATTTTCAGGAAATCTTAGGCTGCCCGGGCCGTTTGAGCTCCTGGGCTCCAGCAAATTTCCTGTCTCTGCCTCCAAAGTAGCTAGGACTACAAGCCACATCGCTGGCCTAGCTTTCAAAAACAAACATTCCAGTTTTCTTTTCTTTTCTTTCTTTCTTTTTTTTTTTTTTTTTTGGTCGGTTGTGGGTCTTGAACTCTAGGCCTGGGCGCTGTCCCTCAGCTCTTCAGCTCAAGGCGAGCACTCTACCACTTGAGCCACAGCACCACTTCCAGTTTTCTAATAGTTTATTGCAATCCTGGGGCTTGAACTCAGGGCCTGAGTGCTGTACCTGGGCTGATTTTTCTCTAGGCTAGCTCTCTACCGCTTTGAGCCACAAGTCCACTGGCTTTTTGGTGATGAATTTGCGGAAGGTTATATGTGTGGTGGCCAGTCTCCTGAGCAGACATGGTGTTGATCATTTTGAGGTGTGTTATTGGAGTGCCCTCACCATTCACCTTTCTCCCAGCCATGCCAGAGGGCCGGGACTTGCTCCAAGTCTTCCAGGTCTGTGCAGGGCCAGGCAGGGTGCTTGTGGCACAGGACGTCTGTATCTGGACACGGCACTGCAGGAGCTCGGCCTCCAAGTTGAGGTCAAAGTGCCAGCCTTCCCGCGGGGTCAGCCTGCCCACGCCTGCTAGACAGGAGAAATGGCTCAGTGGTGGTCTGGAGCTGAGCTCTTTTGGGGTGCACCATTGGGCCTGAGCCTGGCTTGTGTCACCGACCCGAGGCTGGCCAGGCCCCCCACTGGCTGCAGACAAGTTCCAAGGGTGACGGCTTTGTCCCCTGCGTCACCAGGCTTTGTGCTGCGCTATGAAGTCACTCTCTGCTTTTGAAAATAATTTGGCAGAGAATAGCTTGCATTGGAAGTAGTTCTAGAAGATTAATGTAGCATAGACTGGAAAAGAAATTAAGGCCATTTCTCCTGACGTGTAAAGGGAAATTCAGAAGGCGTTTGTGTCTGCAGATGAGTGGAGGAATTAAAAGGTCTGGGCATTGAGTCTGAGGTCTCAAGTTTGAGGCCAATCTATACTCAGAAGATTTAAAGGGAGATTAGTGAGTAATTCATCCCAACAAGACATAAAACTCAGCACACAATATGTTCTCATTTATAGTCTAGATTCCAAAGATATTTTGGTGAATGAAAGAGTCTCATTTATCTAAGTTGAACTTTTATTTTAAAGGGGTAAAATAACCAAGTAAACAAACATGCACATAAAATTTGGAGGGCAGGGCTGGGAAGGTGGCTTAGAGGTGGAGTGCTTGCCTAGCATGCATGAAGCCCTGGGTTCCAGTCCCCAGTACCACATACGCAGAAAAAGCCAAAAAGCTGTGGCTCAAGTAGAGTGCTAGTCTTGAGCAAAAGAAGCTCAGGGACAGTGCCTAGGCTTTGAGTTGAAGCCCCAGGACTAGCCAGCCCCCTCCCCCCCAAAAAACCCTCTGAGTAATATGAAGCACATAAAATGTGGGGTGCAAGTGTGGGTGTAGTGGTGGGGTACCTATCAAGAGCAGGGCCCTGAGTTCAAACCCAGCACTCCTGCCACCTCCTGGGGACATAATGTGCCAAGGGGATAGAGGAGGGGGGGAACGCCCCTGAATGCCATGTACGGGTGTGAACCCAGTGCAGGAAGGCATGCTGGGGACCTGGATGGTTGGACAGGGCTGAATCCCGGCCACCATGCCCGTGTGAGCCCCAGGGGCTGTCTGGAGGGTGCGCCCGCAGGCTCCCGGGGCGCTGTCCTGCCAGTGAGCGTAGTTCCAGGCAGAAAGCATTGGAGGGTTGGAGAACAGAACATGGAGAGTGAGTGTGCAGGAAGCCTGTCCAGGGCAGGTCTCAGCTCGTCAGGCTGGAGAGGACCCGGGCCGGCCGGGTGCTGGCCACGGGCATGCGGGGCTGTAGTCCAGTCAGAGAAGAAAGGACAGAGGGGAGGAGCACCCATGAGAACAGGCCAGAGGAAGCGCTGGTAGTGGAGGTGGACAGGCCAGGGGCACTCGGGAGGGACTGTGCGCCCAGGCGGACCTGAGGTGCGGACAGCCATGTGGGATGCATGGAGGGCTGGGCTGGGGGCTGAACCGGGCCTGCATGGTGTGGGGCCTCCACAGCTCAGACTGCAGCTGAGAGAAGCGGGCGGTGGAGTGTCCAGAGAGCATGAAGGACTGGAGGGCTGGGAAAGTGGGCTGCGGCCATGCTGGAGGCCCGGGGGGTGGGGGGGACGGGGCAGAGACGTCACTGGGGTCTCTGCGCAGATGCACGGAGGACTTGTGCTTCTAGATCGTGTCCCCTGTCGCCCTGGGTGCCGGGTGGCGCTGTCTGCGCCCGCAGCGCCCCCTTCGCCTTTGCACCTGGATGGGGCCTGGCTGCTGTCAGGAAAAGTGACTCTGCCAGCCGCACCCTGTCTCCGCATTTGCAAAGGCGGGAGCTGCCCGGGCACATGAGCCAGTCCCGCCCCCGGGTGGCCTGCTGTGCTCCCCCCCATCTGTCACCTCCCAAATGGGGCCACCAGTCCTGGGCCTCTGGTGCGCTCACCAGCACCGTGTTGGATTTGTCGCGGGATGTGGGGGGGTGCCGATGGGTGTGGGGGGTGCCGATGGGGGGGCGGCGCACGCGCGGGGCCCTCCATGACGCTGTCCTCTCCTCCCCTCCCCGCAGGAAAGCACAATGGCTCGGTCGGCGGGAAGCAGTATTTCAAGTGCAACCCGGGCTACGGGCTGCTGGTGCGGCCCAGCCGAGTCCGCAGGGCCCCGGGCGCTGGGCGCAGGCGCAGCTCCCGGCCTCCGGGCGCCCCTGAGGCCCGCCGGAGTGCCACCCTCTCGGGCTCCACCACCAACCTGGCCTCGCTGACTGCTGCCCTGGCCAAGGTGGACAGGCCCAAGAACCCTGAAAACCGCAAGTCCTGGGCCAGCTGAGCCGCACGTCCAGGTGGTGCCACTGCCAGAGAGCCGGGCCCTCCAGCCTCAGGGCGCCCGGGCCCCCCCCCCGGAGCGAGGCCAGGAAGGCCTTTGGCCCACCGCCCGGCCGGTGACCCCTCGCGCCCGCCCTCCCTGGGTCCCTGGAAACCAACTGTCCTCTACAGTGGCGGCCGAGGCCCACGCAGGGCCGCGTCGGGGAGGGCCCGGAAGTTCCTGGAGGGAGAACAGGTCGGGACCGGACCCGGGATGGCCGGGGA